AGCCCGGGATTCCTTTCCAAGCTGATTTATTTACATAGGGAATGCTTAGTTTGACACATTGCTTACAAGTCAGCAGAGAGCTTTTTTAGTTAAATACTATTCAGTACTTCAAAGGACATTGTAGCTACATCATGATTGTTCAGCTTTCCTGGATACAAAGCAATTCTTTGCTCTTGAAAAGAAAAAAAAGATTTTTGTCCTAGCTCTTTGTATTATTGCTCCAGTACTGGAGAAAATTAAGCTGAATGTACTTAAAACCTGTTTTCAAAAACATTTTAGTTTCAGAAACTGATGCGTATTGCTAGCAGTTTGAGACTGTATGTGCTTAACCCAATGGCAGATCATTTGGCTCCTGCCTCGTTGGGGAGAGCTTGTTATTATCTGCCAGAAAAAACTTACACTTCACCAGCAGAATCTAGCTTTAAATCCTACTGTGTGCTGGCCATAATGATTTATCTTCAGCAGGGTTAAAAGCTGCTCGGTTTCCTCAACTCTAAAGGGATGTTGGTAATGCTACCCAAGCTTTAGAGTTGGATTCTATTAGCAAAATGTATCTAATGCTTGGCATGTAGTAAACCACTTACTAAATTTTTCCTTTTTCTGTAGCTTTCCCCTTCCCCCTGCCAAAAGAAAAAAAAAAAAAGGAAAGAAAAGAACAATTCCCTTTTTCGTTCAACTGAAATTAACAGGGAAAGTAAGAACAAACCATGGAGTTAAGAGGGCAGTTGAGAACAGCAGGGTTAATGGCCCCTGGGGTGCAAATGGCTTCGGCACTGACTCTGGGTAGCCACGCAGGGAGCACGATCCCATAGATTAATTGAAGAACACCCATGACTGTAAACACTGGGACCAGATTTGTGCCTGCAGTGTGAGAAAGCACATTTCAGTTTAATATGTGTGCAGTGTCTGTGATGTGTTTCACTTGTGACAGGTGTGGATCGAGGGGAATATGTGAATAAAATACACCCTGTACTTGTGAAGCACTCCCATCGAGAGAGGAGTACCAAGAGTCTTAGTTGTAAACCAGACCCCAGGAATCTGAGCAAGTGAGTGCAGGCCCGCCTGGGGAGAGAGTGAATGTGTGCGGGGAGATGCCGCCACAGACACTGCTGCCTTCCTCACAGTATCGGTTTCTCAGATGTGATGCTTGAACCCTGGCTCTTCACTTGGCACGCTAGAACCAAAGGTGTCTCCCAGGTCGCCTTTCAGCTAGAGGTGGCCCGAGACAGATGTGGCTAATGGGGAGCCAGGATGCTGTGTGAGACTTCAGGAAGGGCTCCTCAAAGCGAGTTGATTTCACGTAGAGAGGGGCTCTTTGCCCTTCAGCCTTTACTCTGTCTGGACTGCTGCAGGGTTGTAATGCAGAGGTTTGTCACATTCTGGGGTCATAGAGAAATGTGGACAGCTAGAAAGTGCCCAGGCTCCTGACAAATATATAGCTTCATTCATCACTCCTGACTACCCACCTCTGAGTTTCTTTTCTATATGGGGGGGAGGGGAAGTAACATGGCTGGCATTTATAGGAGTTTGTTTATTTCTTTTAGTGTGTGTATTTTTCTGGCAGCAAAACATTCCCGGGTGGCATGTGGTATAGGCACTGACTCTAGCCCCACCTCTGGTCACCACTGAAATGACTATAGATGTATCTAAAAAGAATACATCAGGACTGGATACAGAAATATTCATCTACCTGAAAACAAAAGCCTCAGAAATTTCTGTTAGACACACTTTAGATGTTTCCCCTAAGAGGTGCTAGGATTCTGAAGAATGTTTGAGGTTTTTGGCAGTAATGATACATGATAAGCCTGGACAGCTAATCATATGAGATGGCAACAGAGCTATCAAGATAATTTGGCTTATGTCTAAAGGACATAGGCTCCATCTTGAAGAGATTTGCACTAGTAATAGGATAACTTTACCATCAAAAAGTAAGAACTGTAGTACACTGGAAAAATAAATCATGAGTTCATGGTACTTTATAAGGTCATTATTTATTTTTGGAGGTCATTAGTGAGCCAGTTCATTGTTCTGAAAAGTTGTGATTCAGACATTAATTCTGCCTTTCATATACTAAACTACATACTTCACAGCAACTAAAAGTTGGTAAGGATCAGATGACCCAAAGCCTTGGGACCCCACACACACGGGAGACCCAGAAGAGGCTCCAGGGTCCTGCCTTCGGATTGGCACAGCTCCAACCCTTGCAGTCACTTGGGGAGTGAACCAGCGGACAGAAGATCTTCCTCTCTGTCTCTCCTCCTCTCTGTATATCTGACTTTAAGATAAAAATAAAATAAACTAAAATTCTTTTTCTTTTTAGTAGCATTCTGATACATTAAGAAGAATTGATAGATTTAGGACCAACCATCGTTATTTTTCAGCACTGAAACAATCAATGGATACTGAAAACTATGAGATGAATTGCTCATGGAGAGATTAATAGTTGAGAGTGCCTGAGCATACAGATTAATCTTAATGGCACAGAAAGGGAGGCAGAGAAATGCTAGACTTCCTGCTGAGAGAACACAGATGTGTATCTGAGGAACTAAGCCGTGCAGTAGACGTACAGGTGGGATGGGATCTGAGCCAAGATTCGGCATTACTGCAGAACAAAAGGAACCTAGCACCCAGTACAGGGAAAATAATATACTTTTGATATAAAAGTTTATTTCAGTAATAAAAACATTTTAGAAAACATTGTGTGTGCTGGAAGATTTAAAGAACTGTGAAGTCCTTGCTATGTAATGTATGCAAATGAGTTTGCAAGACAGTAGGCTGAGATAAAGCGGGTTGAGCTAAAGGAGAGACATTAAATAAAAGAAGTTGGATAAGACGAGACAAACTAACATGGAAGCTAGAAGTGCAGTATCCAAAAAGAAACAATAAGAAAAAAAAAGAGATCCAATGTATTTGTAGAACGGCAGTCTAGAAAAGTCTGAACTGAATAGGAACAATTATTGAAAACACACTATAGGAAAAACTCTGGGAGAAGAAGACCTCAATCTTGTGCCGAGTGCCAGAGAATTTAGTGAAAAGAAATTAACAGCCCGGCCTATCCTTCAGCTTTCCCTTATTTTAATGGTCATCATCATCAACAGGCAAGGAGAAAATATAATCTAGATAAAAACATGGTCAGGAGGGAGAGAAGGCAGAAGTAGTCTTGTTGCTGTTCAACATCAGGGGACAGTGAAGAGTGTCTTCAGTTTTTAGACAATTCAAACTTCCGAAACTTTTTTGTAAGGTGTATTTATTTTTATTAGAAAGTCAGATTTTCTGAAGAGAAAGACATAGAGAAAGAGCTTCCATCTATTGGTTCACTCCTCAGATGGCCCCTAGAGATGGAGCTGAGCCAATCTGAAGCCAGGAGCCTGGAGCCTGGAGCCACATGGGTACAGGGTACCAAGGGTTTGGGCCGTCCTCAACTGTTTTTCCAGGACACAGGCAGGGAGCTGGTTGGGAAGTGGAACAGCCGGGAATAGAACCAGCGCTTATATGGGCTCCTGGCGCATGCAGGGTAAGGACTTTAGCCACTAGGCTACCGCACAGATCCCCTCCAAAACTCTGTAAAGCAATTTGTTAGACTAAGAAGCAACACATGTTCTCAATTCTAGCATAATTCTAGAATAGTAGTAGAATAAGGGAATCTATTTTCAGTTCTGCAAAACTGCAAACCATACCACCTACCTATCTTTCCATAAGAATTTCCCAAAGCGTACTGTGGCTGGCTGAGGATTCTTCAGCATGCAGGCAAAAGCCAGATCTGATCTTACAACCCGCCCCTACCCACCCTCCACACGTATGACTTTAGCTTAGGGTTTAGCTAGGTTTTGAATAATATTTTAATTTTAAGAAGCGGGAACTTTGGAAGTCATTTTCGCTGCAATATGGATTAATTGTTCTGTAAAAATCAGTTTGCTTGATGACCTGCATCTCCATAACTACAAAAGATGTTTCTGAGCTTGGGCAGCTTGCATAGCACTTGTTTCCACTTGCAGATACTCAGGTTCCTACTAGTAAATAAAAGACATTTGGCATTCTACAAATTCTCCAAGTGCGGACTGCTGACAGGCATAGATTTCACCTGGAACTTGTTAGAAAAGCTCAGTGAGGGCTTTACCCATATTTAGTCCATCGGAAACCCCCGGGGCGGGGAAGTGGGATGTGGTTGGTACGGTTGAGCAAACTTTGCAGATAATACCAATAAAATCTAAGAAGCACTGGTGGAAGTGCATTGGTCCCCAGCCCAAATTAACAGTCACAGTAGCTTTCCTCAGGCCAGATGACACTTGATCTTCTAGATGCGGAAATCACTGGTCTGATAAAGATTTAAATGAAAAGACCTAGGTCTCTGTGCCTGGCTCACTTCCGCAGCACAGGTGAGCCTTGTCATTCTCTGCTGTAAAACTTTCCTGCTTGTTTCATAGTGCTGGAATTAAGTGAAAGAACTGAACATGAAAGAACTTTACATCATGGCTAAGAAAATCTGTCGCTATAAGAATATGAAGGTACTTTGGAAAGTTTGTGAAAATGGAGTTAAAATAACAAATTTACCTGTGCAAAAGAATTTTGAAATTCATATGAGGGGGTCTTTAAAAAGTCTATAAAATTATGTGCTAGGACAAGACTGTGCATGCATTTTAGAAAGTTTTTGCACCAAAATAAATCATCTTTTGAGTGAGGGGGTTGGGTTTTGTTTTGTTTAGTTTTGGTGGTGATGTGTGTGTGTGTGAGCTTTTTAAGGTATCCTTTCATTTTCCTGTGTTTGAAGAGTCATAATGGTTTCCGGCGTTCTTTGGACATGATTATGTACCGTCTATTTGGCTTTAGTAAGTCTGATCAAGCAGTGTTTGCTAGAAGCTTTCTCTTCCCTGAATACTGACACATTGCTTTTTATTTGATTTGCCAGTTCTGTAAGTGAATTTACCATCTTTTGAATATAAATTTTTGTGTATTGGTAAAGGGCTTTTATTGTCACTTAGATGAGTCTGCTCACAGAGCTGTGCCTCTCATTGTGTGTGAAGGTAGCTGGTCTGATAGCGATGGACATCTGAACTGCATTGCTTCAAACTGTTCAGCACAAGCTCCGTCATGTTCCTGGTTCTGCCTCGTTCCTGATTGCCACGCTTATGCAACCTGGAATTGCGTGGTGTTAACAGTAAGATTTCCTGTAAAAGCTTTTGGGGTGATGGGTTCCAGTAGGCATGTGAGGTGGGCTTGGCACATCCTGGGCTAATAGGGGCCACCAGGTGGCCTGGGAGCCACTTACCACACGCATGTAATTGTCCCACGTGCTGTTTGCAGTTTTTAGTATTCTTCATCAGATGATTCTCCTCGATAGTGTTGACATTTTGTAATCTCTTTTTTTTCCCCCTTGTGTGTCAATAGATATATTTCTAGAAAACTAGCAGAGAAAGCAAAAGCATTGGCTTTAGTTGATTCAGAGCAAATTTGTGAGGCTGGCGTTTGGCACGGGAGTTTGGGCAGCACGTGGAAGATGTGCGTCTCCAGTCAGGGTGCCTGCTGGCATGTTCCGCTTCAGCTCCTGCTGCTGGGCAGCAGCTGGGGATTGCTGATGTACGTGGGTCCCTGCCACCCTTGTGGGAAGCCTTGATCGATCTGATCTGGCTCCTGGCTTCAGCCTGGGCCGACCCAGGGGCGGTGGGCATTTGGGAAGTAAGCCAGTGAATGGAAAACCTTTCTCTCTCTCTCTCCCTGTTTCTGTTCTGCCTTTCAAATAAAATGAAAATTTGTTTTTTAATTCAAAAGCAAAAAGATTTGTGTTGACGTGTGAGCTTAGGTATCCCTGGTTATTCTCACTTGAGGATAATTACATGTAATCCTATATTCAAGAGTATGTGTCCTTGCCAGAAATTAAACCAAAAAATTCAAGCATTTATTGCTCCCCATTTGCTTTTTTTTTTTTGCTGTGATTACTAAAAAGATAATAATGCAATAAAAATATTAAAAATTTTTATACCCTAACTTTGTACACTAATGTTACTCTCATATATACTGCCGTCATGGGGCTTGAAAGGTACCAGTGTATTATTCTCAAGGCCTAAATTAGCAGGAACTGATGAAATTTCAAGACTCCATGTCTTTCTCTAGGGTAAGTTCTGCTTCAGCAAGCTATACCGGAAAATCATAATCATTATTAAGAGGCGTGAAGGGCTATAATTCATTTGAAAGCTGTTGCAAAACGTGTAGAAGCAGTGGGGATCCTGCCTCTGAGGCCCTGATCACTCTCATCTGCCTGAAGACCAGAGAGCCTTGTTAGATTCGTGAATAAGAACTCATAATTATGACTCGCTGTTCTGCTATCATACCAGGTCCCTAGATCTCTTTCTAAAATTCTGTTTTGTTTATTGGGTTTGTTTAAGATTTTTTGTTTTTTTATTGGTAGACATATAGAGAAATATAGACATATAGAGACATATAGAGAGAAGGAGAGACATGTCGCGCCCACGTGTCTTATTGTCCCGCAATAAGACGCAGACGCGAGTGAAGTCTTCTGCGGTAAAATTTATTGCGCGCACAAAGATGAGGAAGAGGAAGGGGCGACCCCGGCAGGCTTTCTGCTCTTATGTGCTGACTGGCCCCGCCTCCGCCGATGATAGGTCGGCGTCATGATCACGCAGGGTCCTGGGCGACCGGATTCGTCAGTCCCCAGTGTTCACGTGCCGGCCACGCCGCAGCTCACTGCGCATGCGCTAGGCGCCTGCGCAGTACCGCGAAGGCTACGTGACTTCCACCACGCACGAAGGTGTGGCTTCTCCGGCCGGCGCCATTTTAGGCACAGCATGTGGCCAGTGCATACAGATGCGGCTTGCAACAGAGACAAAGGTTTTCCATCCGCTGGTACACTCCCCAAGCAGCTGCAACAGCCAGGGCTGAGCTCATCCAAAGCCAAGAACTTCTTCCAGGTCTCCCATGTGGGTGCAAGGTCCCAAGGCATTGGGCTGTCCTCCACTGCTTTCCCAAGCCACAAGCAGGGAGCTGGAAGGGAAGAGGAGTAGCCAGTATATGAACTGAGGCCCATGAGGGATCCGACGTATTCAAAGTGAGGATTTAAGCATGAGGATACCGGATACCGTGCCAAGCTGTCCCTGTCTGTGTGAGCTATTGGTTCAAAGTCAAAATGCAACTGTATCTAAAACAAGATCTGTTTTAGTCTGAGTTCAGTTTGTAATCTGGTAGCCTGTTGTGAATTAGAATGTTTTCTGGGCAGGGTAAAGGATGCAACTCCACAAATACAGTAATTATGTCTCTGTTGAAGTTGCTGGGTGGCGCCTCAGGCACCAAGTCAGCTCTCAAGTCAGGCCAACAAATTAAAGTCAGACCCCCTTTGAACGCTGTATGAACCATTGTGTAGTCGCATGACTCTAAGTAAATTCTTTGGCATCAGAGAGCCTGTTTGTCATCTGTGAAATAGAGGATTTGTAAAAACAAATATTCTTATCATGTTTAAATTCTCATCTTGGCTTTGCCTTTGTGCTCTTCCTAATTCTTTTTGTGGCTTGTTAAGTCTGAGTCTTTTCATTTATATATTCCTACTCTATCTTTGGGATATCTTCCTAGAAATATTGACATACTGTGAGCTCTTGTATCACAGGTAATTGTAAGCTTGTTACCTAAATAAATAAATAAATAAACAAACAAATAAATAAATAAATAAGAATAGTTGCCAAAGAAATGTACTTTGTGTTACTGGGAGAGTCCTGACCACAAAAAATATTTTGGCAGTTCTCCTGTGGGTTAGATCCTCCACTAGATAGTTAACCATTTGCATAATTTAGATCTTAGTCTGACTAGCAGCAAGCAGATGGAACATTGCTAACAGCAGCAATTAAACAGTAAATCTGTTTTAAGGAGTTGGCCAGAATCCAGCATCACAGTCCATGTTCTCTTTTGTCAATTATGTTTAGTGTCTTTTGAATTTTGATTTCCAAATGTCCGAATATGAGAAGGAGAACAAAGGTTGGTTGTTTTTGCAGTGGCTTGCTTCCCAGTGTTCATTCTCCTGACACATTGCTGAAACCCTGCTAAAACCATGCACGTAGTTGGGAATACAGCAGTGATTAGAAGAAACAGAGAATTCCATTTCTGAAGAGCTGTAAATGCAAATGAACTAGAGATGAATAATGATCAAAATAGTACTAGATCAAATAGAAGAAGTAGTGCATCAGGTTAAGCCACAGTGTGGGACACCCACATCCCATAATAGCATGCCTCGTTCGAGTGGCTGCTCTGCTTCTAGTCAAGCTTCCTGCTGTTTACGTGCCTGATGGTCAGAGGCAGTGGCCCAAGAGGGTGGGTCTCTTGCTTCCCAGCTAGAACATCCAGGTGGATTTCCAGGCCCCTGACTTTGGCCTTCCTAAGCATTTGGGGAGTGAACCAGCGGACGGAATAGGCACTTCTGTTCTTTTCATTTACTCAGTCCCAAGGAATTTTAAGAAAATAAGTTGTTAGGAAAATAAAGTGAGTAAGAGAAGTATGAATTGTTAGGCTTATAAATGAATAATGATCAGGCAAATCTTAGTCTTAAGAATAAAGAAAAAGTAAATAGTAATTCCCTTGAATAAATTATTTAAATTACTTTAAAGGCATTTTCTCAATAAAACATAGCCTGCATATTTTGACAACTGAATGGTAAACACAGTTTCTGACTGAATTTAACAGTTCACATACTTGGGGAAAATGAATCTGAAAAGTCATATATCACAGAAACACCTCTTTGGCTTAAAATTATTTTAGAATGTAAACATTCAGTTTCCCAAAAGAAAACTGGAAGTTAATTTTTACTTTCCTAATCTGTAGCTATTTCTGTCAAATTTTTTTTCTAGTTTATGATTCTTACTGAATACTATTTTTTTTAAGATGTATTTATTTTTATTGCAAAGTCAGATTACAAAGAAGAGGAGAGATGGAGAGAAGATCTTCTGTCCGCTGAATCACTTCTCGAGTGGCCACAACGGCCAGAGCTGCGCTAATCCGAAGCCAGGGGCCTGGAGCTTTTTCCAGGTCTCCCATGTGGGTGCAGGGTCCCAAGGCTTTGGGCCGTCCTCGGCTGCTTTCCCAGGCCACAAGCAGGAAGCTGGATGGGAAGCAGGGCTGCCAGGACACGAACCAGCAAGGACTTTAACCATTAGACTACTGAGCCAGGCCCTGAACGCTATTTCCCATTTAAGCCTCCAAAGTTACTAAACCAATCCATAAAAGTCTGTGTTTCAAGTGGAGTAAGTGTTTATAGTCAACAGCAAGTGAGATTTTAAAGATGATGTATGGAGTTGTTGATTTTAAAGCCTAAAATGCTTTTCTAGTTCATGGGTATGGAGGTTTTAAAAATTAAGGAGGGCCCAGCGTAGAGGTTAAAGTCCTCGCTTTTAACATGCCAGATGCCATATGGGCGCCGGTTCAAATCCCGGCGGCCCCGCTTCCCTTCCAGCTCCCTGCCTGTGGCCTGGGAGAGCAGTCGAGGACGGCCCAAAGCTTTGGGAACCTGCACCCACGTGGGAGACCCGGAAGAGGCTCCTGGCTTCGGATTGGCATAGTATCGGCCCGTTGCGCTCACTTGGGGAGTGAATCATCGGACGGAAGATCTTCCTCTCTGTCTCTCCTCTCTGTATATCCGCCTTTTCAATAAAAAAATAATAAAAATAAATCTTTAAAAAAAGTGGTTAAGGTCCTCGCCTTGCACACCCGGGATCCCATATGGGCGCCGGTTCTATCCCGGCAGCCCCGCTTCCCTTCCAGCTTCCCTTCCAGCTCCCTGCCTGTGGCCCAGGAAAGCAGTCAAGGACGGCCCAAAGCTTTGGGACCCTGCACCCACGTGGGAGACCTGGAAGAGGCTCCTGGCTTCGGATTGGCATAGTATCGGCTGTTGCGCTCACTTGGGGAGTGAATCATCGGAAAGAAGATCTTCCTCTCTGTCTCTCCTCCTCTCTGTATATCTGACTTTCCAATAAATAAATAAAAGTAATAAAAATTAAAAAAAAAAAAAAAGAACCGTAATGTATGGAGATCCACCAACATACTGCGACCATTAAGTGCTGGAAGTCCTGAGTTTGAAAGACGTGAGCTTGAAAGGGCATTCCCAGTGCTGAAACAGGAAGAAGCAAGCCTCCCATAGCCCACCCTCCCGTGAGTGCCCGTTCCTGGTCAGCAGACCAGGGTGACGTGACACACACAATGACAGATTAAGACCGGAATCCATACTCTCCAGGACTGTACAGGGTTGCCTGTAGCACTTTGGAAGGAAAGTGTGTGCTGCCCAGGATTCCAAATCCCATCAAACTGCCAACAAGGGGAAGATCAGAATGAAAATCTCAGACATCCAGGGACTCCGAGTTTACCTTTTCTTGAAATCGAAAGAAAGGAATGAATTATACATTCATATTCACTGTGAATTTTCTTGAGATATAGAAATTCAACTTCCAATTTTTTCATCAAAACTTTTCATTAATCTCATTGCTGCCAAAAGGTTTTGTTGTGGGATAATGAGGAGAGATTATAAACAGTGAAGCTAGCAGTCATGGTTTATGCCGTACAAAGCTACTGTGGCAAACAGTAATGAGCTTGCTCCCTTTACTCTCAGCAGGCTGTGTGTTGCAGGTCTGATTGGCCCCAAATTGTTCGTATCTCAGCGATTCCAGTGGAAGCAACCCAGGACTGCTTGCATTGCAGTCGACAGCTGAGCGGTACACCAGCGGGCAGCAGGGCCAGCAGCATCCAGTCACTCTCCTATCAGCCAGATGACATGATCTGACTTCAGTTGTAAAGGGTGGTTCTAGATGCAGTGTTGAAAATAAGTTTGAGGGGCTAAAGTCCTCACCTTGAGTGCGCCGGGATCCCATATGGGTGCCGGTTCTAATCCCGGCAGCTCCACTTCCCATCCAGCTCCCTGCTTGTAGCCTGTGAAGGCAGTCGAAGACAGCCCAAAGCCTTGGGACCCTGCACCTGTGTGGGATACCCGGAAGAAGTTCCTGGCTCCTGGCTTCGGATCAGCATAGCATCGGCTATTACACTCACTTGGGGAATGAATCATTGGACGGAAGATCTTCCTCTCTGTCTCTCCTCCTCTCTGTATATCTGACTTTCCAATAAATAAATAAATCTTAAAAAAAAAAAAAAAGAAAGAAAGAAAAGTTTGAGGGTGGAGTGGCAGGACAAAGGTCTAAGAAACAGAGACCAGTTGGGGTATGACTGCAGCGTTCTGGCTGAGTGCTGTTAGTGGAGGTGGTGAAAAGAAGTCAGAGGCCAAGGATAATCTGAAGGGAGAGCCAGTAGGACTCCCTGTCCGATCAGATGTGGAACGAGCAAGTGAGGATTCGAGATGTTTAGTCAGAGCACTAGGAAGGGACGGACAGGCTGAAGGAAAAGATCAGGCGTGTTTTCGGTATTAAATTACCAATAAAATGCCATTTACTTGGATTGGCACATGAAAATGGAATTAAATGGTAAGTTTATTGTGGTACAAAAAATTCTTAAATACAGGTCTAGTTTCTTCATAATGGACATTTTTTCCTTGACCTTTTGGAGACCCTTCCTAGGTAGCTTGCATTTCTGAAGGAAGATTTGGGACACGATTTGGGAGTAGTCAGCATACAAACCGAGCATAGAGGCCTGAGACTGGTGAGGCCACTTAGGAAGGACTGGACATGAAGAGTCTGAGCACTGGGGCCTTAAGGATCACAGAGATGAAGAGGAAGGCTGCCCGTGAGAGAGAGGGAGAGCCAGGAGAGAATGGTACCCTAGAGACCACAGGAAGAACACGAACAGGGCGTCTCTGCCAAGAGACCAAGAGTCACGGTTGGATTGGGCAGCACGGACGCCACTGTGTTCCTGGAAAGGGTCTGTTTCTCAGGTTCCTCGCACGCTACAGAGGTCCTCAGCTCCAAGTTGTGTGGACCTGAGGACTCGGTCAGTGCGGCTGGTGGGGGGTCATTTCACCCTAAGGGTATTGTGAGAAATTACTGAGACGCCCAAGAAGGACAAAAAATAAGAAGCTTCTGGCATCTCTGTTTGGGAAGGTTATACTAACAGGGACTGTGAATATTGAGGCAGCTGCCTTCTTGTTTGTGCTGGAAAGTTTGAGTTAGTAATTTTAAGTCTGATTAGAGTATGTACAGGCAACTTTATCCTGTGAAATGTCCGTGATACATCTCTGTGTGCGTTTTTCTTCTTGCCTCCCTAGGTATGGTCTGAATATGCGTTGCCTGGCAGCTCGGGTCAGCTATAAGACTTTGATTATCATCTGCGCACTCTTCACTCTGATCACAGTGCTTCTGTGGAATAAGTGTTCCAGTGACAAGACGATCCAGTTTCCACGGCACCTGAGCAGTGGCTTCAGAGTGGACGGACTCGAGAAGAGGGCAGTGGCGTCTGAGAGTGACAGCTACGTGAAGCACCTGGCCCGACAGCAGTCCGAGGAGGCCTTCCCTCCCGAGCAGCAGAAAGCTCCCCCTGTCGTGGGAAACAAGGTGTTGGGGCTCAAGTATGAAGAAATCGACTGTCTCATAAATGATGAACACACAATTAAAGGGAGACGAGAGGGGAATGAAGTCTTTCTTCCATTCACTTGGGTGGAGAAATATTTCGATGTTTATGGGAAGGTGGTTCAGTACGATGGCTACGATCGGTTTGAGTTCTCCCACAGCTACTCCAAGGTTTATGCACAGAGAGCCCCTTACCACCCCGATGGCGTGTTCATGTCCTTCGAAGGCTACAACGTGGAAGTCCGGGATAGAGTCAAGTGCATCAGTGGGGTTGAAGGTTGGTATCTGCCCCACTTGCATGTTCTGTCCCGGTTATGTTGGGGGCAAAGAGATTATAGATGCTGAAACAGCAGATGTCTCCCTCCCTGTCAGGGTGCCTTCCACTGCTCTGACATTGCAGGGAGGAAACAGTCCAGTCTGATCCTGGGGTGACTCACAGGCTGCAATTAAGATCAGACGTAAACAAGCAGTACTGTTCCATTAACCTGCCTCAGGATCTAAAGTTCTTCCCCCAGAAAGGTCAAGGTGTGGTGTGTCCGTGAGGGGAGATAGGAAAGGAGCAAGACCGTCCACTGGCCCTGTCAGTATCCACATGTGGCTTGGTACCTCATCAGCTAGGGATCATCAATGAAAATGACAGGCAGTGCACGGACCTTGAGTTCTCTGTGTCCTGAACCCCTGGAGCCCGCCACATGCTGCTTTGACTGCCTGTAAACCTGGGGCACTTGAGCTCCCTTCTGGGTATAATTAGGACATTTTAGAATCTGCTTGTCACGCTTCTGATTGACTAGAAAGCCATCATTTGTAAGTAGAGAGATGTGAACTTAATCTGTTTTGATACTGTTTGACTTCACATCTTCATTTTGATAGAAAATGCTTTTACTGTTTTAATCTTTTAAAAGCTATGATGTAAACAAGACTTCACTTGATATATTTTCACTTCAGAAAGAAGTGTGTGCTAACTCGGTGACCCTGGGAAGGTTATCAGACTCCCTCAGTCAAGGGCCTCCAGCACACCCTCATCCAGAGCTAATGATGTGCCTGTTCCTCCTGTCGGGAGTGCACGTCTGCTCCTCTGTCTTCAATGTCTGTGTCACTTAAGTTTTAACAGTAGAGGAGTCAGACTGAGTAATATTCTTACCATGTAAGATAACTGTTGCCACTTCTGTATATTTTCCAGTCTTGCTATGCTCAGTCTTTGTTCTGAGACATGCTTAACACAGTTGTGTTGGTATTGTAAAGGGATTCGGAAAGATAACACTGTTACAGATTCAGAGCTGCTCTGCTGTCTCCCCCTAACGTCCTGTGATCACAGGATCCCCCTTTGGCTAATGACTGAGATTTCTTACATATCATGATGTTTGCAATATATGGGACTAGTCTCTAGAGTGTGACAGATTGCTTTTAGGGTTGTTTTGGTTTGGTTTGGTTTTGGTTTTTTAGATTTATTTATTTTTGCTGGAAAAGCAGGTTTAGAGAGAGAAGAGGAGACAGAGTGAGAAAGATCTTCCATTGCTAGTTCACTCCTAAAATGACCACAACAGCTAGAGCTGAACTTGTCCAAGCGAAAGAGCCTCTTCTGAGTCTCCCACGCAGGTGCAGGATCCAAATGGCATTTAACCATCCTCAGGCCATGAGCTGGCAGGTGAGTGGGAAGTGCAGTAGCTGGGATACAAACCGGTGCCCATAGGCACACTACACTTGCAGGTACAGGATTAGCCAATTGAGCCATCATGCCACCCTGTTTTTTTGGTTTTTTGTTTTTATTTTTTTTTACCAGTATAAATGATGTTGTAGCTATTCACTGTTAATCTTTATTTGCTATTTTAATACTGTGTTGAGAGCTACTGAACGTTTCTAGTAGCACGGTATAGAGTTCACTGTTCTTACCCAACTCTTGCCATCATGGAACATTGTGTTTAAATCTCTGATTTACAAAATAATCTCATAATTTGTCTTCTACAACAACTAGTAAGGACAAATATCCTTTTGGAGGAGAATTTTTAGTCACTTTTTTTTTGTTTGAAACAGAGATCTTCCATCCATTGGTTCACTCCCCAGATGCCTGTGACAGCCAGGACTGGACCAGGCTGAGACTGAGTTCAGGAGCTCAGTCCAGGTCTGAACGGCTGAGGTTGAGCCCTTGAGCCACCATCTGCTGCCATCCCAGGAGGCTGGACTGGGCACCGCAGGATGGGATGCAGGTGTCCCAGGAATCTCTTCACTGGGTGCAAGGCCTGCTTTTGGAGTATGTCTTTGCTAGTTTCACCTTTTGGTATTTAACCTTGTATGCATACTCTTTACTAATGTGACTAGCATTTTTCTTGCACATATTTGCATTTATTCTTATTTAAATAGTGATAATACCAGTGCTGTGACATTTGTTAAAAACACTTTCTTTGATTTGGTTATCTTTTAATTCTGCTTTTTATTTATTTTAGAAGTTTTTAGTTTTTATAAATATTTTGGACCTTGGCTTTTTTGTGTTAAAATTTTTGTTGTTGTTTAGAAACAGTTACAGAAAGAGATCTTCTATCAGCTGGTTCACTCCGCAGAAGGGCCAGGCCAAAGCTGGGAACCAGGAGCTTCAGCCAGGTCTCCCGTATGGGTGGCAAGGGCCCAGACACTGGAGCCTTCCTGCACTGCTTCTCCCAGGCCGTCAGCAGGCAACTGGGTCAGGGGGTAAGCCAGCACCCATATAGGAAGCTGGCATCACAGGTGGCAGCGTTACCCGCCAAGCCAGGAGCCAACCCCTGCTTCTTCATTGTATGCTTAGAAAGGCACACCAAACATTTGGAAAATGTTTCATAGAGCTTTATAATGTGTCATCTATTTGTGAATTATTTTAAGAATCTATGGCTAAATAGACAGCTTTAATTCAATAATAAAAACACTCCTTTCTTTTAGCAGTTCCATTTTTGACAGGAAGGATGGAAGGAAAGTACTCCAAGCTGTGATTATTATGTTATTATTGCCTAGTCACAACTGTCTTACGAAGCACATAAAGTGCTTTAACTGTGAGATGATAGACTGAACTATTAGACCATTCCTTGCTTGACACTGGAGAGGGGAGGAGAGTTGGTAGTTAGCATGCTTGTTAGGTAAAAATGTCTACAAGTTCAGGGTTAATATTTAGACTCTAACTGTGGTGACATTATCTTGCATGCATCTAAAACTGTGCAAAAATTGAATATGTGAAAGATGGTGTCTGTAGCTGTGAACAGTAGACATTAAAACACTGACCTTGAGAGGCAAGAGCGAGACAAGTGATGGTGCTGCATCGCTGTCCTGCAACAGCCGATGATGCCGATGATGCTGATGCTGCGGATGAGTGCTGAGTGTTGTTTGTTACTTGGTCTCCAGCAGTCCTGAAAGCAGTGTAACAAGGAGGCACCGTGGTTGCTGATAACCCGGTGACAGTCCCCAGAAGTGGAATAGTGAGGAGGGATGCTCTGAGCAGGGTGGCCATGGTCATTCACTGTGTTTCTCTTCTGTGCAGGTGTGCCCTTGTCTACACAGTGGGGACCACAAGGCTATTTCTACCCAATCCAGATTGCACAGTACGGGCTGAGTCATTACAGCAAGAATCTGACCGAGAAGCCGCCACACATAGAGGTCTATGAGACAGCAGAGGACAGGGACAAGGGCAGCAAGGCTAGCGACTGGGCCGTGCCCAAGGGCTGCTTTATGGCTAGTGTGGCTGACAAGGCCAGATTCACCAATGTGAAGCAGTTCATTGCTCCAGGTAAGTCGTTCCCTGTAGGTGCCTGCTAATCTTCTGTTGGTTTGTGGCACCCCGTAGTGCCTTAACGTTTTAATGATTTGGAAAAACAACAGTAGCAGGCCTTTTATGTTTCATATATAAATGTGTGATGTCACCTGAGTGAAAGCCCTAAAGAACAACTGGAAAAAAAAATCAAGATTGTAAAAAGAAAAGTGTTTCCTGTGTGAAGAGATGAGCTCCAGACGAGGTGCAGCTTACCCACGGGTGGAGTGCGCTCCAGAGGCCCGGGGCTGGGAACGGTGAAGTTCCTCATTGTACTTCAGTGTGTGATGATAGCCAATTCTTAAACAATTTTTGCATTAGGTAGAGTTTTTTTTTGCAGCTAGTATTTCCTTTGCCTTTTCCTTGCCAGTGGCTTTTTTACTTTCTCACATATTTCAAGAACATATTTCAAGCACATATTCCAAGAAAATATTACCAAACAGAGGCCCAGCATGGTAACCTAGAGGCTAAAGTTACTGCATTGCATGCACTGGGATCCCATGTGGACACTAGTTCATATCCAGGCTGTTCCACTTCCCTTCCAGCTTCCTGCTTATGACCTGAGAAAGCAGTTGAGGATGGCCCAAAGCCTTGGGACCCTGTGCCTGCATAGGAGACCCAGAAGAGTCTTCTGGCTCCTAGTTTCAGATCAGCTCAGCTCCACCCTGGCCGTTGCAGCCACTTGGGGAGTGAACCAGTAAACAGAAGATCTTTCTCGCTGTCTCTCCGTCTCTATAAATCTGACTTTCCAATAAAAATAAATAAATCTAAAGAAAATATTACCAAATAAGCATGCTTCTCCTATTGAATTTTGTTAATGTACTAAATAATCTCAAACTTCATATAAAGCCACTTTCATTAATAAAATCAAATCGACTTTATGCAACATTTCCCCTGTACTAAGGCAGTCTCATTAATTAGGAGGTAATGTGTTTTTTCTGCTCTGATCAATATCGGTGAGGACTAACGAGCCCACTACTCTAATGAGACAGGGAGATGATTTTAGTAGCTGCACCTCAGGCTTCATTCTCTGTAGGGATACGTTGTCAGGAGCGGAAGAGGTGCCCTGTTCCCGCCAACCCTGCAGGTGATAAATAAAGAGAAGAAAGGCTGAGAGACCTTGTGTATTCTCTGTTTGTGGCTGCAACTCACAGACCTCGAAAGCCGCAGCAGACCTGCTGGCTCTGGCTGGCCGGAAGTGATGGATTTCAGAGTGCTTAATGCAGTGCAAGTGATGATGACCGTTGTTTTTGTTCTGTGACTAGAACCTCTTCACGTGGCGCTCAGTGATAGCCCAGCTTCAAGAGCATCTTGGTGATTGTGAAACAGCAGGTCTGGCGGAGTGAGAAGGAACGAGGAAGCATCTAGCAGTATTTAGTCATGTTATTAAGGAAGGAAATGGTTAGACAAAGGAAAGGACATTGGACTTTGGGTGGACCCATGGGAGCTCATTTTTACACTCACTGCTTCATCCAGATCTCCCACATAGGTGGCAAGGGCCCAGCTAAACACATGGGCCATCTTACGCCACTCTTCTCAGGCCGGTGTACCAGGGAGCTGGGTCAGATTAGGGTAGGAGGGTGCAGCCCTCATCTGGAGGGCCTCAGGTATCTGTGAGGTTTTTCTAGAATAATCTTTTGAATTCAAGCCTGTTTAGAGGAACAGATTTCACTGTACAGTTTGGGGTAAAATGGCTAATGAAACAAAGTTAAGTACCCACATCCTTAGCCAGCTTCCCTCCAGCCAGGAGCTGCAGGAAAGCTCCTTCCGGAGGGGATTGTAAGCTTGTGCTCAGGAGCACTCAGGCAGCGGGACACAGCCACTCGAGCCGGCACTGTGTGCTTGGACGAGTGCTAGCTGGCAGTGGAGTGTAGGCTCTGGTATCTTACACATGCCTCTAGGACAAGAATACAAGGCGAGAAATGGATGGGGGTTACTTGGGAGTTACTGCTCAGCTCAGAGAGAAGAATCAAAAAGTGAGAAGTTTCATGAAGTGGAAGAGACGAGTACCGGCCCCGTGAGAGGTAAAGGCAGAGAAAATACGTGGAAGAATGATTGGGACCTTAGAGTCCAAGCCCTCACGTCCAGGTCCCAGTGAGGCCGGAAGGACCCAGACAGCCAGGGGCTGCATTGCATGCCGTCAGCCTATTATTTTTCTCGTTCTTGGCCTCGAATTTGTTTTTCGCTGAAGGGAAACAAAATCCTCTATGGTGAAGAACTGTAAAATGACTCTGCTGCATATTTTTATTGTTTCATTGATGAATCATGTTTTGTTCCTCTTCTAGTTTTAAAATTAAATGAATAGAAACTTTATGCCTGTCCTGCTCCATTAAATTAAGTTAGCTGTCCCTTTCCCAAAGCGCTCTTCGTTTCGTTCCCTGACCTCACTTGGTTCTGTCTCGGTAGCCGTTCTTCCCTAGGCTTCCTGTGAACTCTCCTCACACTGGCGCTCATCTCATTGTCTCTCATGTTCTGAGCAGGGCCTCCGCTCACTCGCTGTAAGACACTTGTGGATTAAATGAATCAGTGAAGAGTTTGTGTGTCTCAAAATGCTGATTTATTTTTTTTTTAAGATTGATTTTTATTATTTTTTCATTGGAAAGGCGGATATACAGAGAGGAGAGACAGAGAGGAAGATCTTCTGTCTGATGATTCACTCCCCAAGTGAGCACAACGGTCGATGCTATGCCGATCCAAAGCCAGGAGCCTCTTCCAGGTCTCCCATGCGGGTACAGGGTCCCAAGGCTTTGGGCCGTCCTCGACTGCTTTCCCAGGCCACAGGCAGGGAGCTGGATGGGAAGCGGGGCTGCCGGGTTAGAACCGGCGCCCATATGGGATCCCGGGCGTGCAAGGCGAGGACCTTAACCACTGCGCCATCGCGCCGGGCCCAAAATGCTGATTTAAACAATATTCTTTTTGTCCAGCTTTACACAGTAACAAGTAACATCATATGTGTATGTACTTAAGGTGTTTAAGGTGATGCTGGGGTATATCAAGTGCAGGTGTATCTTGTTCTGAGAAGTGAATACTGTAGTCAGGTTAGCACATCTGTTACCTCACAACGCTGTCGTGTGTGTGTGTGTGTGTGTGTGTGTGTGTGTGTGTGTGTGTGTGTGTGTGTTGATGAGAACACCGACAAGTCACTCTCAAGTTCAACATTGTTAGTTTCCATAGAAAAGTGACATCATACAGTGTATTTTTGTCTGTCTGATGTACCTCACTTAGCATTATGCACTCATGTTTCATCTGTGTTGTCACAGCAGGCACTTATGCTTCTTGTTGACCAAATAAAATCCACTGGGTATGGATGCCACGTTTTCCTAATCCCTTCACCATGGGTTCTGTCTGTCTGGGTTTTTGTGAACAATGGAGCAGTGTCCGTGGGAATGCAGAGATCTCCTTTGAGATACTAATTTCATTTTAGGGGATTGCTGGATCACACATGGTACTTCTATTTTTCATTTTGTAAGATGCCTCCATGTTATTTTCCATAATGGATGGTCCAATTTACATTCCTATCCAAAATACATAAGGGTTTCCTTTTCTTCATTTTTTCCTCCCCCAACAAGATGTATCTATTTGTTTAAAGTCACAGGTACACAAAGAGAAAGAAATTTTTTTTAAGATTTATTTATTTTTATTACAAAGTCAGATATACAGAGAGGAGGAGAGATAGAGAGGAAGGTCTTCCGTCTGATGAATCACTCCCCAAGTGAGGGCAATGGCTGGAGCTCTCATCACGTCTTCCTGCCTGATGCAGCAGACAACTTCCTTCCCCTAGGAAGTGGGAGCTCGAATGCCTGAGTCAGGGTTGCTGAGAGGATGGTGATGGGTAGCTGACTTCTCTCTGACTCAGGAGCCCCCTCTGCTGGTGGTAAGGTGTTAGGAACACCCAGGGTGGGTTTGTTTTAGAGGTTACTGCTCTTAATTCGTTTCTGAGTTAGTGGGACTAATCTGTTTATAGGACATAAGTGATTGAACTGTATCATTTCATTAAATTTGTATAAAGTGAAAATTAGAATGGGATTGTGGCAGGAAATAGGCACACCTTCAGCTTTCTCCTATTGGGACTTCTAAAGCTGGGCCATTGTTATCTAGTTTGGCCTGAATGTCATCGTAGTTGATATGATTGTCTGATAAATGAGGCATTTCCCCACAATGAGAAAATAAGTAGCACTCAAGGCAGTCTGTTTTGCTGAATGTAATTTAATCTTGAATGATTCCTAAGTCAATTCAGAATCCAGGGATTCAGGGGTGTTGCTCTGCCCCCCCAAATCCCATGTCACTTTCCCATGTAGTTAGGAGACAGTACGTGTTGACATTTTGCCAGCTAAAATGGGTTTTTGCTGTATTCGAAGTGCACTTTGAAATCAGTTTTTTTAAGTCATTCAGAGCATTAAGTCTCTCAAAGTGGCCCCATTCTTGACGTACTTCCATAACTGTCCGTTCCGTCAGTGAGCCACATAGGGTGATACTGGTGGAGTCCACTGCGGCCTAAGTCAGATGGTCAGCCCAGCCTGCTGGTCACAGCGGGCACACCATCTCAAGTTCACGTTTCTGATCTTTGCCTCTGGCAGCATGCACAGAGCTCCTTACGGCCCCCACAGCAGATTGATTTCTGTGCCTGTGTCCTAGAAAAATAGATACTTCCATTGATTATTCCCAGCAGGATGTCATTTCCAGGAGCATCTGCCTTTTACATAGACTTTTAACTTGATCCAAGAAATGTGGATTCTAGTTCCTGCTTAGCAATAATTAGCTTTGGCCTTGGACAACGTTTAACCTTGCAGGGCTTGCTTATCTTCATCTTTAAAGGGAATGATAGTCCCTTTCCCACAAACCTCGAAAGATTATTGTAAAGGTCAAATGAGATAAATACATAGGATTTATGTTTGGAAATCACAAGAATATTAGTATGTTCAGTTTCCCTTCTTGGTAGGTCCGGATGAACAATATTCAGGAAATCATCTTTCTAATAATTAGTAATTATTATGTGCAAGAGAAATTTCCTATTAATTTTTAAGCTAAAGCAGTGTGTACTGTTTCATTAGCATCAGATAATTAGTAACTAACTACTGTCATTGATTCCTTGTCTTTTTTCTTCCTTAAAATTACCCTGCAAAGTCACCTTATCTCTGACGTGTGAAGGAATTGAGGCTTGAAGAGGTGTATCTTGGAAGACTTCTTAAAATTAGTAGAGCAAGAGTTCAGGTGTAAGGGTTTTTCTTTTTTAAGATTAATTTATTTTTATTGGAAAGTCAGATATACAGAAAGGAGGAGAGAGAGAGAGAGAGAGAGCGAGAGAGAGAGAGAAGAGATCTTCCTTCCAGTGATTCACTTCCCAAGTGGCTGCAGTGGTCAGAGCTGAGCTGATCCAAAGCCAGGAGCCAGGAATCTCTTCCGGGTCTCCCACACAGGTTCAGGGTCCCAAGGCTTTGGGCCGTCCTTGACTGCTTTTCCAGGCCACAAGCAGGGAGCTGGATGGGAAGCGGGGCCACCAAGATTAGAACCGGCGCCCATATGGGATCCTGGCATGTTCAAGGTGAGGACTTTAGCCGCTAGGCTACCGCGCCCAAGTGTAAGGTTTTTAACTCCAGAGTCCATGCTTGTTTTCCTCCTTGCCACCCTGACTTTGTGTTCTACATGAACTTAGTTAATTTCCAAAAATTTTGTTCACAATCCCAGTGAATATCTGAAAACAAACCTGCCTTCTTAGCATCAAATTACAATATTTAGGAAAATAACCTATTGTAATTGTTCAGAGGGTTATCTGAGTAAATAGATGTACGTAAAGTGCAAAGAACATAGTAAAATATATCAATGTACAGTTAATGTAACTAGAATGTAAGGGGCCAGTATTGTAGCATGGTGAGCTAAGGTCCCACCTGCAGTGCCAGCATTCTGTATAGGCACTGACTGAGACCCAGCAACTACCTAGCAGAGGACTGGGCGGGTGGAGAAGATGGCCCAGGTGCTTGGCCCCTGCCCTCACGTGGGAAGCCAGAGGATGCTCCAGGCTCCCGGTGTCAGCCTGGTCCAGCCCTGGCCATTGCAGCTGGTTGGGGAATGAACCAGTGGATGGAGGTTTTACTTCTCACCCCTCCGCAACTCTGTTTTTCAAATAAATAATCCTTTTTTTAAAAAAATTAGCTTTGCATGTAACTGTTTTCCCCTGCCCTCTTTTGGCAATGTTATGTGCTAATTTGGAGGTACTTTTACTTTTTGCAGGATGTGTGTACTAGAGTCATCATTGATTGTTTACCAGCTAGCAGGAGCTCAGAGAAGGCAGTACGATCAACCATACCTTAACCATTGTTGTTGTTTCTAAGATGGGGTTTTTTGAAAGGCACAGTTACAGAGAAAGGAGAGACAGAGAGGGCTTTCAGCTGATAACCCACAAAGACTGAGGCCAGGCTGAAGCCAAAACCCTGGAGCGCCAACTGGATCTCCCAAGCACTTAGGCCATCCTCCACTGCTTCCCCGGGTGCATTAGGGAGTTAGGTCAGAAGAGAAACATCTGGAACTCAAACTGGTACCTCTGTGGAATGTGGACATGATAAGTAATGGCTTAACCCACTGTGCCACACTGCCAGTCTCAGTCGCTTGTACTTAATCCCTAATGTAAACCAAATGCCAAAAGCCAAGAAGTTTCATCTGTTTGTCACCAGATCATCATGAACTCATCATCACCAGTTTTGTATTAGTTGGTAGTTAATTTGTTTTAAAAAAAAAAAAAAGTTAAGGGCCAGTGCAATAGCTTAATGGATAAAATCCTTGTCTTGAAAGTACTGTGATCCCATGGGGGCACCAGTTCATGTCCCGGCTGCTCCACTTCCCATCCAGCTCTCTGCTGTGGCCTGCGAAAGCAGTTGAGGACTTCTTAAGTACCTGGCCCCTGCACTCGTGTGGGACACCTGAAAAAGGCTCCTGGCTCCTTGGTTCAGATTGGCTCAGCTCCGGCCATTGTGGCCGCTTGGGGAGTGAACCAGCAGATAGAAAATCTGTCTCTCCTTCTCTCTTTAAATCTGACTTTTGAATAAAAACGATAAATCCTAAAAAAAAAAAAAAAGTTAAAATAGTGATTCAGAGCACAGCATATTTAAGTGTTAATTTTGTGTGATGGTGGTTGTCAAGGGTGCATTGTGCAGTTTCAAATACAGAAGGACCCGTGTTCTCACGCCCTGTGCTGGTGTCTCACCCTCTGCAGAAACCAGTGAAGGCGTGTCCTTGCCACTGGGAAACACAAGAGACTTTATCATCTCATTTGACCTCAAGTTCTTGACAAACGGGAGCGTGTCCGTGGTTCTCGAGACAACGGAAAAGAACCAGCTCTTCACCGTGCACTACGTCTCCAATACCCAGCTGATTGCTCTTAAAGACAGAGACGTTTACTACGGCATCGGGCCCAGGACCTCGTGGAGTACAGTCACCAGGGACCTGGTCACGGACCTCAGGAAAGGAGTGGGTCTTTCCAACACAAAAGCCGTCAAGCCAACCAAAATCATGCCCAAAAAGGTGGTTAGGTTGATCGCCAAAGGGAAGGGCTTCCTCGACAACATCACCATCTCCACCACAGCGCACATGGCCGCCTTCTTCGCCGCGAGTGACTGGCTGGTGAGGAACCAGGACGAGAGAGGCGGCTGGCCGATAATGGTGACCCGCAAGTTAGGGGAAGGGTTCAAGTCTTTAGAGCCGGGGTGGTACTCTGCCATGGCCCAAGGACAAGCCATTTCTACGCTCGTCAGGGCCTATCTGTTAACGAAAGACCACATCTTCCTCAATTCAGCTTTAAGGGCGACAGCCCCTTACAAGTACCTGTCGGAGCAGCACGGGGTGAAAGCCGTTTTCATGAATAAACACGACTGGTATGAAGAATACCCAACCACACCCAGCTCCTTCGTCCTGAACGGCTTTATGTATTCTTTAATTGGGCTGTACGACTTAAAAGAAACTGCAGGGGAAAAACTCGGCCAAGAAGCGAGGTCCTTGTACGAGCGCGGCATGGAGTCCCTGAAAGCCATGCTCCCGCTCTATGACACCGGCTCAGGCACCATCTACGACCTCCGACACTTCATGCTCGGCATCGCGCCCAACCTGGCCCGCTGGGACTACCACACCACCCACATCAACCAGCTGCAGCTGCTCAGCACCATCGATGAGTCACCCGTCTTCAAGGAGTTCGTGAAGAGGTGGAAGAGCTACCTGAAGGGCAGCAGGGCCAAGCACAACTAGGGCTGCCAGCCAGAAGCCCGCGCCAGCCTCTGCTGCCCACCGGAGCCCCGGGCTCCAGCCCGGCAGGCCGTGGGCACGTTTTAAAAGGCTGTGCGCCGGCTGTTTGCGGATGACATCAGAGCCATCGGTGACTCTTCAAGGCAGCCTTCTGAAGCACCTGCGTTCCACGAGCTGGCGTTTTAACTCAGGAAGTGGCCTTGAACGGAGAGTGTTTAGTCAGCGGGCCATAACAATGCCCTGGCCTGTCGCCACGTCCAGTTCCCCGGATGGTCCAGACGTGCTGAGCTTGGCCCAGGCCAGCTTGGGACAAAACTCTTTTAAAATGTGATTATTTATATTTATATTGAAAGCAGACTTTGAAAACGAAGCGTGTGCTGTCATTCCGTAACTGTGTCCTCGTAGCCTGGATGGTGGGTCGTGTTCAGCTTCTCTCTGTAGCCTAATTTCCTGGGAGTCAGTGAGCTCTTGTTGCATTTGTTCAATTTGCTATATATGTGGAGAATATTTTGGATTACGATTTTCTTCAAAACGTGCAAATCAAAAACACACCCACAGTGTTCAGGCGTCACAGTTCTATAACGTAAGCACAACTAAAACAAAGCGTGTTGACTGCACAAGGGATTACACAACGTTTCCTGTTTTATGAAACTTGACCTACAATCAGTAAGAGTTTGATAATCAGTGTGTCCTTCCTGCACGCCATGGTCTCTGTGTGGAACCCTGTCCTCTCTGACTACACTTGAGAGTCCTGTCCATCTTGCGGACATGATTTGGGATGTTTATTACGAACCTGAGTCTGGGAAGGGGCTGGTGATTTCAAGTCCACTGCCACTCCCTCTTAGGTCTCGTTCCCCCCTGTGAGGACAGACACCCGCTCAGAGATGACAGGAGAGAGTCATGGAGTCGAGCATCCCTTAGCAAACCACGGGTTCTGTGTGCTGGTGTTGGGACGGCCGGCTGTCACAAGGGGTGCTGCCAAGAGTGCTAGCTGTGGGCGATCGGGTCTTTCTTTAGGGGTTCAGCCCCTGCCGTACCTCACCTCGGGGGCTTCAGGCAGCGAGTTTATACGAAGCGGGTGGTTCTGCCCTGACTCTGGTGGTCCTGCATGGCAGTGCGCTGAGTCAGTGCTGTCCCTTGCCCAATGGAGACCAGGAGGCCTGCGTGTTCCTTCAGGGGACAGAGTTGACCAGCACAGCACAGCTTCTCTGGGCCTGGGGTGCACACTGAAGAGATGGCTGGGTTAACTTGCCTACACACCGTCTTCATTGAGTTTGGCCTACCAAGCACTGCTTAGAAACAGGAAAACAGATCACATGTTTATGTATATAGTTTATAAGATGTAGCATCAAAGGGGGCAGGAGTGAAGAAGGCGAAGAGCTGCCCGGAATATTAAACCAGCCATAAAAAAGCGAGCGTAAGCTTCCGCTTTGTGTGACCACAATTCTTCATTTTCCCCACAACCAAAAGAGTTGTAGGTGAATATGCTTTCTCCCAGCCTTGGGCCTTTTACAAGCTGTCTCAGCAACGTTTAGACTGCATCTTCTCTGTCTCAGCAATAAAAATGAGGACTGCCTCATTTTTATTTTGGGTGATGCTTTTCAAAAATAAACTTTCTGCCCTCTGGGAGCCCCCTTTTCTTTATCCTAGTGTTGGGATTTACGGTGGGCCAGACTTGCGCTCTGAGTTCGCTTGACAGTCTTGAGATGTAGGGAGTCCGTGAGGACAGCATGGTACCGCCTCTGCGGCAGACACCAGTGCCTTAACCGTGCGGCTGTCCTCTTCCCGGAGGGAGGCGAGGCTTCCCCCGCCCCGAGTGGCAGTGCCCTGCCATTCCTGGTGGGTCACGCCGCCTTCCACGTGGCAGCAGCAGCAGCCTGGTCAGTGGTGTGATCTCAGCCTGCTCTGAGAGCGCGAGGGGAACCTGTAGCCACGTTGTCAGTGCAGACTGGTGCACCGGCTGCCTCGCCGCTGCCTGGGAGCCGGCTGGGATGCAGGCCCTGCGGAGCTGGGAAGCCCGCCTCTGAGGCAGAGCGGTCTGCATCTTGAGCAAGCCTGCAGGCCAGCCAGGGCTGTGTGGGGAGCACAGCACAGATGATCCATGTCATTGTTGTCCACAAAGAGATGTGGCTTTTTGTAAGGTTTTAAATCACGTAAAATGTTTACTTATTCTGAGCTTAGAAAGACTAGGGGGAGGGCATTTGACCTTTTAATCTTGTTTATTTTGGGAAAATGTTATAATAGGTGTTGGGTTTTGTTTGGTTTTTTTTGTTTGGTTTTTTTTTTGCTTATCTTGAGTTCGCTTGGATGGTACATCTATTGCCATTTCAGTCTTAAAAACAGCCACATGTTTCTGGATGAAGGTCAAGTTCGATGACTCATCCAGGACCTGCACTGTCCGCGGTGGCCTCACCCAGGATCTACCCAGGGTACCAGAAATGGCACACAAGCACAATTCTCCAGATGCGACCCTCCCTGTCCTTTGTCAGCGTGAAAGCATCACTGACAGCTGCTATCCCCGCCCCCTCTGTCGTCCGTGTGGGTTTGACACCATGTGTTAAATATGCAATAAAGTGTTTACCGGATGCCCTCCTGCTGGGGGTCTTTTGTAAGGCTGTACAGATTTTGCCGTTTAAGCACAATGTGCACCTGTTAGTTTTCTATACAGCAAAACTTGATTTTTTTGCAAATGGAAAGGTATTTTGTTTCTATACAGAGTAAATGGATTGTTTGTGCTTAATGTAAAACTGCTTTATAAAATTGTAAAATAAAGTTTTCATCTTAAAAGGAACACATCTGGATGTCTCTTAGTTATTCTGACCATTTGAACCCAGCAAGCAGATTCCTGGCTGTCATTTCCTGTTCTGCTCATGACGGCTATGCAGGCAACAGATGCCCTTGGGGGGCACGCGGGCCTCTGTCAGACCTGAGGAACTGGGGTCTACAGGGGGAGCCAAGCAAGCAAGATGGCTGAGTGTGAATCAGGGAGGGCATAGGGGTGGAGGTGCCCGCACCGCTGTGTGGAGGCCGGTTCCCATTCTAATGCAGACCAGGCAGCTACATTTCCGCAGCTCTGTGCCTCCTGCATGTTCTACATCGGCCCATGTTCTCTTCCCAATGAGAAGCTCCTTTTAGTGCTTTTTTCACTTCCCAAATACTTGTCCATAATGCTACAAACCAGTATAGCTTCGCCTTAGTTTCGCTGCACAGCTTTCTGGTTTATAAGCAGTCTGCATTCCTCTTGATCACCACCACACTGTTTTCCAATTGGTGAGCACACAGCTTTGGACAAGCTACTAACCAGCCTTTTGGGCAGCTGTTTCCTTCAGACTGTGTTCTGACCTGGGAAATAACCGTGTGGTTGCAAACAGTCTCCAGCCAGGCCGGCCTTGCTTTGGTTTTGCTCAACATGGCCAAAGTGTCAGCAGCCCGCCCCCCTGCCCGTGCGCCCTGGCCGGTCTCTTACAGGTTCCTCATTGAGAGGAACCTCCCACCTGTCCACTGCGATCAGACGGGCACTGACCACTCTTCCCCAGGAATCCAAGCTTGGAATTGATTACAGTGATGTCATGTGAGAAACAGATGAAAAGTAGCATTCCCGGTGTTCCAGCCCTGGACCCTGTGCATTTCTGATGTCAGCTGCACTCCATTCAGCATCTGTAACATACCACTCTACCCTTAGAATAAATTCCCTGAAGTTGGCTGGATTTGGTTACTGTTGCTTGCGACAAATGAATCATTCTTAACAATATAGCATCTGTTGGGGCCACCGAAACAAAAACAGAGGAGGATGGCTTCGTGAACAGAAATCAATCCTCCTGCCATTCTGGAGGCTGTAGCCCAGGCACCCGCACGCCACACGCCTGCTCTCTTCCAGGCCTCCCTTAGCCTGCAGATGGCAGCTTCTTGCAGTTGGTCTGGTGTGGTCACTTCCATATCGTCTGTGTCCTGTGTCTTCCACTTAAGAGGACTGGTCAGGCTGAGAGCGGGTCCCTGTGATGGCACTGAAAATCTTAGTTTCAAATACATGGCTACATGTGAAAATGTGTAGCAAAATAGGATTTAAGCATTGTTTTTTGTGCAAAAGAAAAGGAAATCCATAACATTTTCCATGAACTTTTGGAAGATGACTTGAAAGTGCGTGACCATATTCCAGTTGCGTCTGGTAGAGAAGGAAAAACCTGCCAATGTTGCTGAGAAGATTGTGGAGAATCGGGCCGGGCCCATTCCGTGGTCCTTGGAGCAGACCCATTCCGTGGTCGCTGGGGGCACAGTTCAACTCCCGACAGCCACTCTCCCTTCTAAGTGCTCCTAGGTGGAACCAGCCTAGACTGTCATTTAACTTGCTGGAAGCCAGTACAGGGGGTGTTCACTGAACAGAAATCTAGACTCAGGTCTCCCTGGCATCAAAATTGACTCTCACGCTTGGGCTGCACTGCCACTCAGTACAGTCCAATAACCAGAGAAGTCAGTGGTCTTAGATTTCTGTTGTAAACTAACAAATGGCCATATGCGTTAGCAGCCATTCGGAATGTGGAGCTCTCAGATGTGGAAGGGCAGAAAACGGATAGATGCAAAGCCCGTACAAATTGCGAGTTTTGTTTGATGATTTTTTTTTTTCTCAATTCCCATCGACATTACTGTAACTTAAAAGATAGTCAGCAATAGCAGGATAAAATACTGATTTTCATTATACCAACTCGTTAAGGATGCCAAATGGAAAATGGATGCGAATCTAAATGCAGTGTTGGTGAGGAATCTGAATGTTTGCTGCTCGATTTCTAGTGAAAAGAGATATGTTTACCATCTGGGAAGAGCGCTAGATAACTTGTGTGTGCACCCTGCATCTCCTGCATGCTAAACAGCGCCAACCCTGTGATTTGGCTAATCCTGTTCCAGGAGGAGAAGGAATTTGCTGAACGACAGGACTGCAGTGCGAGTGGTTAACGAGCTGTAGCAGAGAGAACAGCTCGGAAGTGGAGTAGGGCTGAAGCTGATCTTAGACACAGAGAGGATACCATTATACAGCCTGAAGCTCCTCCGGTCTAAAGCTTAATTTACATCAGGAAGTAACCAGGGGCTGCTGGGGAATTTGCCATGGTCTCAAAGGCACCTGTAGAGAAAACCGAGAGGTGAAAATGGCAGCTGTGCGAGTAAGAGCGCTCGCTTGTGGCTGGGAGCGGAATAGGAAGTGACTCCCCGGGGCGGAGTGGGGATGAGTCCTTGTTATAAGGAGACACACCTTTCTATCAGTGCCCAGTGCTCCTCCGTCTTTCCTTTGTCACACAGCCGTAACTGGATATCTGCAGCACTGCTGGATACAGTGGGAAGTCCCAACATCAGTCCCCCAGGCCCCTTAGGAGCTTGGCAAGGGGAACTGCAACAGAGTGTGTGCCGCCTCAGCTCCTGCAGGTGTGCAAGCTCCGTTCCCTGGGCAGACGTCCTGCCCAGGAGATGGCCCCGGGCACTGAGGGCTGGGCACTCAGCACAGCAGGTGGGATGCTGCTTGTAAGCCTGCAGCCCACACCAGCTGGGCGTCCTGCCTTCACTTCTGGTCTCAGCTTACTGCTGACATGCAGGGTACAGCAAGCAATGATGGCTCGAGGACATGGGAGACCCCAGCTGAGTGCCCAACTTCTGATTCTGGCCTGGTCCCAGCCCATGGCTGTTGGAAGGCATTTGGGGTGAAAATCAGAAAACAGATTTCCCTCTCTCCTTCTCCTCCTTTCCAATAAGATGAAATTTAAAAAAAAAAAATTTTAATCACACTTTTAAAATATGCTCAGTTCTTAGTGTGTTGATAAGCAGACTCTGGGTCAATCTCATTTACTGGTGAATGGGCGTGCGCCCCTTTGAGTTCTTCCTAAGCCAAATCCCGCTCAGAGCAGCTCACCACCACTCTGGAGGTGTGGCTGACAGTCAACAAATAAACCAAGCAGCTTGCTCAGGGTCGTGCCAAAACTGCCACCACTAAGCATTAAGTGAACACCTGCCTACCAGTCACTCACTCACAAACCACAACCGGGGCACTGCCCACTGGCTGGGACCACCCACGCCGTGGTAAGCGTTGGCAGCCTCCCCTTGCAGAGTCAGAAGCAAAGCCAGGGTAGGCACCATACCTGCTGATGCACGCCGGCGGGCGTGGGCTCTGGCATAAGGATACCAGGGGCATTTTCTCTCCATTGGGAGAAAGGATTATGTTAAACTTCACAGTTGAACAAAGGAACCTGGAGAAGACTGCCTACCAGAAGTCATCCATTCTTTGACAAACCAAGATCTGACCTCCAGTTCTGTACTCTGAGCCGTTCTCCCCAAGCAGTAGCAATGATCACCTCTCTCTCGACCTCACCTCTACTCTGTGGCCTTACACAGTGGGCTCAGCTAGGGATGCAGACCCCACAGCCCTACTGCCCCACTGCCCCACTGCTCCACAGCCCCACTGCCTTGCTGCCCCAAAGCCCCACTGTCCTGCTGCCCCACAGCCCTACAGCCCCAATGCCCCACTGTCCCACTGCCCCACAGCCCAGCAGCCCAGCTGCCCCCCTGCACTCCTGCCCCACAGCCCTACAGCCTCGCTACCGCACAGCCCGACAGCCCCGCAGTCCCACTGCCCCACAGCCCCACAGCCCCGCAGCCCCACTACCTTGCAGCACCCCCCACTGCCCCGCAGCCCTGCTGCCCCAGTGCCCCACAGCCCTACTACCTTGCAGCACCCCCCCCCACTGGCCCGCTGCCCCCTGCCCCACAGCCCCAACCCTCTCCTGCATTCGCTGAGTGGAATCTGTGTGACACCTGCCGGGGCTGATACCTGATCCCCTGAATGACAGTGCCCAGGCCTGTCATTTTGAGTGACAGAGCCTCCACAGGGTGCTGGACTTTCCTTCCACTCCACTTGACATTAAGTTTCAAAGTCACATTCCAGCACCTGCCAGCCACTGGCTGTCTTTCCCCAGGGGCTTTGAACAAGCTCCCTGAGTGGAGATATGAGTGGAGGACAGTTTAGTGCATACAGACACACGCACACACGCACACATGCGTGCACGCATGGTGCATGGCTACAGAGCACTCTGCCGTCTGCAAGTGGTGCTGTTCATAGTAAACATGGCAGCCCCTGCCTTCTTTGCTCACGAAGCAGTGGACTGGGGAGAGGGTGCACATGTTTTGTTCTTCACTATTACAAACCATGTTCCGTGCAGATTTCCAAGTGAAGAGTCTGGATTGATGAGCTCCTAATGCATCTTTGTATATTACATTGGTCCGAGTCCTTTGGTCATTTATTTTATCCTCACAGTGGACCTCCATTTTGGATGGGAGAGCAGAAGCTCCTAGGCGTGGCACCCATCAGGAGTCAGGTGAACAGGCACCACATGGGCAGCACCATCCTGGCTCCATCCCCAACCCGCAGAGCAGGAATCGATCTTGCCTATTGCCCCTGGGTCCCCGGGGTGCCCGTCAGAGGTTCAGCAGCACTTCCCCATGCATGGAGTCTCAAGCCTAGGAGTCACCTAGACATGGCTGAGCCCCATCGCTGCCCCCCAACCTGGACCTCTGCTCTCTCCTGTTCTCCCTGCAGCCCCACCCCAGCTGATTGTAACAGGTGCCCAGGTGGAGTAGTAGCTAGTGCCTTGTGTTGATCCTGTTGGGATGCAGAGAGCCAACTCAAGCATTGGCTGGGGTGAAGGAAGGAAGGGAAGGGGAGGGAAGTGGGCCCTGGCTTCCTGCCCCTCACGCCCTGCAGTGGGCATGGTGCTCATTTGCGCTTCTGCTGTGTCTGGGTGCCTTGTTCCTGGT